AAAAAAAAAATAAATGGTATTCAATTAGGAAAAGAGGAAGTCAAATTGTCTCTATTTGCAGATGACATGAGTGTATATTTAGCAGACCCTGTCATATCAACCCAGAATCTCCTTAAACTGATAAGCAACTGAAGCAAAATCTCAGGATACAAAATCAATGTGCAGAAATCACAAGCATTTCTATACATCAATAACAGACTAACAGAAAGCCAAATCATGAGCAAACTCCCATTCACAATTGCTACAAAGAGAATAAAATACCTAGAAATACAACTAACAAAGGATGTAAAGGACCTCTTCAAGGAGAACTACAAACTACTGCTCAACGAAATAAGAGAGGACACAAACAGATGGAGAAACATTCCATGCTCATGGTTAGGAAGAATCAATATCTTGAAAATGGCCATACTGCCCAAAGTAATTTATAGATTCAATGCTATCCCCATCAAGCTACCTATGACCCTCTTCAGAGAACTGGAAAAAACCACCTTAAACTTCATATGGAACCAAAAGAGAGCCTGCATAGCCAAGACAATCCTAAGCAAAAAGAACAAAGCTGGAGGCATCATGCTACTTGATTTCAAACTATACTACAAGGCTACAGTAATCAAAACAGCATGGTACTGGTACCAAAACAGAGACATAGACCAATGGAACAGAACAGAGGCATGGGAGGCAATGCTACACATCTACAACCATCTGATCTTTGACAAATCTGACAAAAGCAATGGGGAAAGGCTTCCCTGTTTAATAAATGGTGTTGGGAAAACAGGCTATCAGTGGGCAGAAAGCAGAAACTGGACCCTTCCTGACATCTTATACTAAAATTAACTCCAGATGGATTAAAGATTTAAACATAAGACCTAACAGCATAGAAACATTAGAAGAAAACCTAGTCAAAACCATTCAGGACATAGGCTTAGGCAAGGACATCATGACTAAAACACCAAAAGCATTAGCAAGAAAAGCCAAAATAGACAAATGGGACCTAATTAAACTCCAGAGCTTCTGTACAGAAAAAAAAAAATCATTAGAATGAACCGGCATCCAACAGAATGGGAAAAAATTTTTGCAATCTACCCATCTGACAAAGGGCTAATATCCAGAATCTACTAAGAACTAAAACAGATTTACAAGAAAAAAACAAACAAACCCATCCAAAAGTGGACAAAGGATATGAACAGACACTTTTCAAAAGAAGACATATATGAGGCCAACAAACATATGAAAAAATGCTCATCATCACTGGTCATTAGAGAAATGCAAATCAAAACCACATTGAGATTATCATCTCAAACCGGTTAGAATGCCAATCATTAAAAAATCTGGAGACAACAGATGCTGGAGAGGATGTGGAGAAATAGGAACACTTTTACACTGGTGGGAGTGTAAACTAGTTCAACCATTGTGGAAGACAATGTGGTGCTTCCTCAAGGACGTAGAAATAGAAATTCTATTTGACCCCCAATCCCATTACTGGGTATATACCCAAAGGATTATAAATTTTTCTACTACAAAGACACATGCACATGTATGTTCATAGTGGCACTGTTTACAATAGCAAAGACCTGGAATCAACCCATATTCCCATTGACCATAGACTGGACAAGGACAGTGTGGCACATATACACCATGGAATACTACACAGCCATAAAAAATGATGAGTTTGTGTCCTTTGTAGGGACATGCAAGAATCTTGAAACCATCATTCTTAGCAAACTGACACAGGAAGAGAAAATCAAACACCACATGTTCTTACTCATAGGTGGGTGTTGAACAATGAGAACACATGGACACAGGGAGGAAAGCATCACACACTGGGGTATGTTGGAGGGGGTCAAGGGAGGTAGAGCGGGGGATGGGGAGGTCAGGGATGGATAACTTCAGGAGAAATGCCAGTTTTGGGTGACAGGGGGATGGAAGCAGCAAACACATTGCCATGTGAGTATAAATGCAGCAGTCCTGCATGATCTGCACATGTACCCCAGAACCTAGAGTACAATTAAAAAAAAAGAGTCATTCCCTATTCACTTGCATCCCAGCTTTAGATAATTACTAATCTACTTTCTGTTTCTACATGGGATGGACTTTGTATATAAATGGAATCCTAATATATAGTCTTCTGTAATTTGTTTCCTTCAATAAGCATAATTTTTTTTTTAGTTTCATTCATGTTATAATATGTATTGAGTCTTCATTCCTTATAATGGAATGATATTCCATTTTGTGAATGCTGTGGTTTAATGTTCCCACCAAAACCCATGTTGAAACTTCATGCCCATAGTAACAGTATTAAGAAGTGGGAACTTTAAGAAGGGATTAGGTCATGAGAGTTCCACCCTCATGAGGAGATTAATGCTGCTGTGGAGGGAGTAAGTTAGTTATCTCAGGAGTGGATTACTGATTAAAAGGATGAGTTTGGCTTCATTTCCTCTCTCTGTCTTGCATTTTGCTTTTGCTTTTGCTTTCTGCTAAAGGATTGCCCTCACCGGTTGCTGACCATAGTGTTGGATTTCTCAGCTTCCAGAACCATGAGCCATTTCTTTTCTTTACAAATTACCCAGTCTGTGGTACTCTGCTATAGCAGTGGAAAACAGACTAAGACAATGGATATATCACATTTCATATTTCCATTCATCAAAAGGCAGACATTTGGGCTATTTCTACTTTTTGGCTAGATTTTTAAACTGTTAATTTTTTCTACAGGAAGCCTATTTCTTAAAGATCCTTCTTTTTGAAAGTCTTATTGAGTGATTAATTTATCCCATTTATATTAACCTAAGACATTAAATGACTATTAAAGCTCCTGGATAGCATGAGATAATCAATCATCAATCATTATTTTTTAGATAATCAATTATTGTACTAAACTGATGTCATCTCAGTCAAAAAACAGAGACTTGGCATTTTAGTGCGCTCATACAGCTTCAAGTTAAATGTCCCATTTCTGCAAGGTTTTCTGATATAATGAATATAACACACAGTTTCCCATCATTACCTCTGAAGCCAATGAAGGGCTCCTTATAGGACCTGAGGTTGGAAGTTCCTGTTTCAAATTACAGAAGAGTATGACAGGCACTTAGCTTTATTGTTTCAATTACATAAAGTAACAAGGACTAATTTCCAAAGCATTGGCATAAAATGTCCCCAGGGGATTTGGTTTAATGAACAGCTAAAAGTGATCTACAATGAACATATTTGCTATTGTACATAAATAGTACTTTTAAAGAGCTTTAGAGTTTTTTTCTTAGGAAGAGAAATCTGGTTTAGCCTGTTTGCATGTTTGGCTACACAGAAAGAGAAACCTGCATTGCATTCTGTCCCAGTGGTTCCCAGTGGTTTACCAAACAGCAAGCATAAGTCCTCTTTCTCCCTGGTGTTTTTTTTTACCCAGGTTGCACCCATCTCAGGTAGGAGGGAGCTGATCCTGATGGTCTGGTTTCAGCATATGGAAGGAATTACTTTTTCCAGGGTGGAACTCTTCTAAGGCATGTACACATTTAGCAATTACAGGAAGGATCCAACTTAGTTCTTTTTTTCCATCTCCAACAGTATACAGATTTATTGCTCTGACTTGAGAAGCAGAAGCAAAGCAAAGGAAATGGCAACACTTCGATTAATTTTGAAAAAAAGAGATGATGTTGATGAGGAAAAGATAGGTGAAATGCCATAAGATTAAGGCTATCCAGAGAGTAACACTCTTTTGCATGCTCCTCTACAAATCCAACTTGGTCTGCCCCTGCCCATGGGCTACATTTCCTGGACCCAGCTTTGCATTTGCTAAGATCTGTAGCAGAAGGACCAGGTCAGCTGACTCTGGTAACAAACAGTCCCAGATCTCAGTGGCTTAATTTGTTAAAAATATATTGCTTCCTCACATCACAGTCCAATGTGGTTGGCAGTCATGCAGGAAGAGTTCAGGTTTCTTCTCTTTTGACACCATCATTGTCAACACATATCCTAGTCGTCAATGAATGAGTGGCCAGGCCTGCAAGTCATGTACTGCCACCCGTCTTCCATTAGTCAGAACTCCCACAGCTTGAGCCTAACTGCAAAGGGCCCAGGAGGAAAGTAAATGGGCTTGGTAAACACTTGGCAGTGTCTCTGCCACACTAGCTCTGGGCTAGGGGATAAGAAAGATTTCTATTCTTCTCTGAAGGCCTGATTCTGGTGTCTCTGGAAGGGACTCATTGTCACATTTTATAGTAAATTCTGAGATTAGCCTTTCAATATAGTGAATAGTAGGGTTTCACTTGGAGTTGAATTGTTAAATATTCCTGATTCCCCATTTCAAAAAATTATCTCAAAAAGCAATTAATAGTATCTGAATCAATAGTTGGAGATTCTGAAAAAGTGAAATTCAAGAGCTTTGCTGAATCCTCTCTAAGTAGATTTTATTTAGTGTTGCAAAGGTCAGTAAGAGTGCAGTCGTGTAATAGAGCTTTGGCTCTTTCCTGATTTACATTCTCGTCTTTTTATCACTGAAAAAGATTTCACCTCCAGCAAAAAAAAAAAAAAAAAAAAAAAATGCTACTGGAATTTTCATTTAACCTATGTGTGCACAGGACCACAACCTGATTCTCAGGAGAGATGCCCAGTGGTTAAGAGCGTGGGTTCTTTGAAGACTGCTTTAATGTGACCTCGAGCCATTTACTCTTTTGTTTGTCTGTTTGTTTGAGACAGAGTGTTGCTGTGTTGTTCAGGCTGGAGAGCAGTGGTGTGATCTCAGCTCACTACAACCTCCTCCTCCTGGGTTCAAGTGATTCTCATGCCTCAGCTCTGGAGTAGCTGGGATTTACAGGTATGCCAAGTTATGTATTTTTTGTAGAGATGGTGTTTTACCATATTGCCAAGGCTGGTCTTGAACTCCTGACCTCAAGTGATCCTCTCGCCTTGGCCTCCCAAAGTGCTGGGATTACAGACATGAGCCACCATGCCTGGCTGAGCCATTTACTTAATCCTCTGTGCCTCAGTTTCCCTATCTATCAAACTGAAGAGTGAGGCATAAGGATGATAATAATAGTACTTACCTGGAATAAGTGGATTGCCTTGCTTATCCTACATTCTACCTCCCTCCAGGGGTCCTTCCTCTCCTATGAGGTTGAAAAGCTAAAATCTGCATTTCTCAAACTCCTTTGCAGGTTGGGAAAGTTAGGTCAGTCTTGTCATTTAGATTGACTTGTTTGAAATTTGGAAGGCAGACGTGAGGAGGCCATTCACTCACCTCACTTGGCCAATTTTCTGCTGGCAAGCTAGATCTTGGAGGTGTGAGGCTACATCAGCAGCAGGAGTCCAGCATCCTTTTTCTAGCTTCTTTGGTGTCAACAGCAGGGGTAGTGGTGGGCACTGCAGCAGCTTCTCAAATCTGGATTCCTGCTCTGGGATGCATTCTTGAATTTACTAGCTCTCAGTGACCTTGAAAGTAGTGGCTTTCCTAGCGGGAGAGTTCTGTATTTCTCTCAGAATTACTTCTGGAGGTCCAGCCTAGAACCTATTTCTTCAGCCTTTCCAACAACTTTGTAAACATCTAATTTTTGTATTGAATCCCAGCTTGCATGAAGCGGTTTCATTTTTTCTGCAATGCATCCTGCCAAAATCAGTATCTCATAGTGTTATTGTGAGAATGGAGTAGTATATGTAAAACACTAAAACCTGGCATGTAGTAAGTATTAAATACATGTGAGTTTTATTATTATGTACACATATGATCAAGAATGTGAAATGAACTGTTACAGGATTGTCCAGAGTTCCATTTTAAAAGATAAATCTAGCTCTAGCAATATGGCTACCCAGCAGCAAATAAAGTGGAGATTTAGTTACACATGGTTAATTTGCCCACATTTTCTTTTACATGCTAATTAAGGAAAAGCTGTTTGGCCCTCTGCTGACCCCATTACATTGATAACTGCCATTTCACCTGATCCTAAAAGGACACAACCTCAAATTACTCTTTAGCTCTTGGACTCCATGAGGACACTGTGGATGAAGATGAAAGCACACCAAGAAATATCTTATTAAAACCCTCTTTTTAAAAATCAATTCATTTAATTTCAGAAGCCAGCTAAAGATGGATAACTGGCTATTCTTAAAAAATGCTAATATGAAAGAAGAAAATTTTAAACAAAATTATATTTAGTCATTATGAAACTTCCTTTATTCAAGATTTTAAAAGCCTAATTTAACATTCATTATTTCATCCTGAAATCCATTCATTCTGCCTTTCTTATAAATTACCTTTTCAATGCATGCTTTGTATCAAAGCTACAGAATTGTTTCCTTTTGTGGTTCCTTCTATTGAGCTGATATTTTGAATCCAAAGTGACCATTACTTGCCAGGCATGAGGAGTTTTCAACAACTCAGTATCATTGATGTAATTTGGGTGGCTGTTTTTGGGGATGGCAGATGTTTGTTATCAGTGATGATGATGAAATTTTTGACAAAAGAGAGACTGTTTAGCTTTTTTGGGAAATATTTCATTTTCCTATTTACATCCTTGTATGACTTGATAAGTATCTTCTACCATCAAAGAAGGATTGCTGAATGCCACAAAGAAGAGAGGTAAGAGTCCACTTTAGAACTAGGTAGACTCTGATAAGACTCTGACTACAACTTTTAATAGCAATTTTTGACAAAAATTCTTACCAAATCTCATTTGTAAGACAATAATAATCAAAGTTTCTCCTTGGATTTCTTTTATGATTACTAAGGTAAACATATACATAAAATACTTAAGAGAATGCTTGGCACATGGGAAATCTGTGGAGCTACTTTTTATTACAAGCAAGTTGCTTTAGTTTTCTCACTCAAATTTCTTTGCAGAATATTAAGATAAGTTTGTTTCAAGACCTAGTAAATGCTTTTAAGTATTATTCTGAGTATTTTTACTACTCTTTACAATTAGTGAAGTCTCTTTGAACCAGAAAATTTCATTAACAGAGAACTCCTAAAATATGACAGATAACGACAGGTTACTGTATTTTTCATAAGTCACTCAATAGTTCTAAAAAATCACATGTTAAAAAATAATAAAACAAAGCTTGAATATAAATGCCTACAGGCCTAAATGCCGTAGAATCAGTTCATAAATTCTATTATTGCATGGGAAAAAACAAAAAAGAATTTTTTTTCCAGTTGAGCACCTGTTTATTTCAATCACCAGAGCACGGGAGGCTATATCTGAAAACTTCGCTTCTGAGCTCAGAATCTAAACTTACTCCACAGATGGTTTTTAGGATATTTCTAGACAGGAAATACAAACTGTTCATAAAGTATTAAATGTTCTTATAATCATTATTGGAAATGCTTTATGTTTACAAATGTGACTTCAATTATAAGCGTGTAGGGCTTTAAAAAGCTAAGGGCAGAGGGCCATTGGTGGGAATCATGCCACTGACATTTTCTACAATGATCATTTGTAGATTCCCAGGAGTGTGTTTTCATCTGCATGTGCAAAGATGCTGAGAGTTGTGGAGAGTTCTGAGTCTTCTATTAGTTTTGAGTTACCAAAGCCAGGACCCCTGCCCTGGTACAAGGAATTGGCTGGGTTTTGAAAGTTGAGGAGGGAGTTTCCTTTTGAGTACCCAAGGCATCTTGTCCCTCTAAGGCATGATCCACACAAACCCAGGGAATAAGGACGCTGATTTCCCATAACCATCTCTGGCCATCTGACTTACCTTTCGCTTTACCTTAGTCTGTTGTTCTGTAACCAGACTCCTTTGTGCTCTGTCAGATAAATAGCAATCAATTGTGATTGTCAAAATTCCACCTGCTGGTGTTAGCACTGAGGTTTATGACAATGGTACATCTGACTGCTACCCTGAAAATGACATGGAAATACCACATTTGGGGCTCTATCCCTCAAAATCAGAGGATTTGACACCAAATATTACAACATAAAAATTAGCTGTAGATAATGAGTAAAGTCCTCCTTTTGTGAAACAATATTGTGTTTTATCCTTTTTTGACACCTCCTAATCTGTAAAAATTTTTAGAGACAGGGTCTTGTTCTGTCACCCAGTTTGGAGTACAGTGGCATGTACCATCATAGCTCACTGCAGCCTCAAACTCCTGGGCTCAAGTGACCCTTACACCTTAGCCTCCCGAGTAGCTAGGACTACAGGCGTGTGTCACCATGCCCAGCTAATTTTATTTTTTATAGAGATAGGGTCTCACTATGTTGCCCAAGCTGATCTGGAACACCTGGACTCAAGTCATCTTCCTGCCTCTGTCTCCCAAAGTGCTAGGATTACAGCCTAACCCATCTCCCAATTTTAAAAATATTTTATGGAAGTATAATTTATATACCATTAAATATACTCATTTTAAGTATACAATTCAATTACTTTTTGAAAATTTACCCAGATTTGCCACTATCACCAAAATTCAGCTTTAGAACATTTTGGATTGTTCATTGCTAGTATACTGAAATACAGTTGACTGGGCACTGTGGCTTACACCTGTAATCCCAGCACTTTGAGAGGCTGAGGCGGGTGGATCATGAGGTCAGGAGTTCAAGATCAGCCTGGTCAACAGATCAGCCAGGCCAATATGATGAAACCTTGTCTCTACTAAAAATACAAAAATTAGCCAGGCTTAGTGGTGGGTGCCCATAACCCCAGCTACTCAGGAGGCTGAGGCAGGAGAATTGCTTGAACCCGGGAGATGGACGTTGATGTGAGCAGAAGATCGTACCATCGCACTCCAGCCGGGGGGCAGAGCAAGACTATGACTCAAAAAAAACCCCAAAAGACAAAAAGAAATACAATTGATTTTTGTATATTGATCTTGTGTACTGCAATTTTGCCAGACTTTTCAAAAATAGTTCTAATAGCTTTTTTTTTCTTGTGTGTGTTCTTTACGATCTTCTATATACAAATTCCTGTTGTCTGTGAATAAAGACAGTTTTATTTCTCCCCTAATTTTTAACAGATTTCAAATCTAGTCACTTCATCAGGAGGAGATACTGGGAGGAGATGCTGGTCTTGGGTGTACAGCCCTTGCAGGGTGTCTATCTGGCAAGTCTGGCAAGAATCAGGAACCTATCCCTTGATTTTAGGAACAGGACCTTTCTTTGGAGTTGTTTACTTATAACTGTGGTTATAATTACATATACTTATATGTTTTTATATATTTATAACTGTGATTATTTAGCACAGTTAATGAGAGTGTTTTCCTTCTTAGGTTGAAAAAGAAAAGAAATGCAATACTGGTAATTCAAATGCTTTTTGATGGCATTTATGGATACAACCTATACATTATGTACTGCAATTTTTGCTAGGTGTTCATTGCCGCTGCTTCTTACTCAGCTGAACAATGAAAGAATTACTCATCACAAAAAGTTGTCTCCTTTATTTTCCTTTTTTTCTCCACAATTTGTCAATAGCACTTAATTTGGATATCTTTATAAACTCCCTTCAACTTCATATCCATGATCCATTTATTGCTAAATTCTACTCCTCTCTTATCATATTGCCACAAAAAGCTTAACTTTTTAAATTGTTCTCCCTTTCTCTCCTTGACCACTTGAAAAGCCAAAGATATTTTCTCCATTGTTAAAGCTATTTAATATTCTTCCCGATAAAATATCAGTCTACACATTTACCATTCCTCATCTTGATTAATGTAAACTTCTACTGTTGGCTTACTTATAAATCACTTTTATTTGCCAAAAATTATTTTCCATCTTTGTTCTTGTAAGAACATATCTTTCCCAGACTCCTTTTTGCTGTTGTTCTTACCTGCATTCCCCCTTAGGATTTCCATTGTATTATGGATCTTGTTTGTCCTCAGTGTGTACCGCTTTCTGTCATCTTGGCTAATCTTTTCACTTTGAGGACTTTAGTCTCTGCAGCTATCCTTTTGAAATGTAACTCCTCTACCCATTTCAGAGAGTAGCATTCATACATCCACACACTTACCAAGCTGGGGGTTTGGAAGTCAGGAAGTGTGCTGTTTTAGTCATCTGTGTGCCCCCAGCACTTAGCATAGGACTCTGCATAAAGACACCTCTTCACATTCCCTGATGGCTGAGCATCTTCCAAGAAGTGCCTGATGCCCTGCTGCTCTGGGGACAGAAAGAGGAATTAGAAGCTGTCCAGGGCTTTGATGAGCTCACACTCTAACTTTGAGCATTGTGAAAAGGGCAACTTATTATTCATTATGATAAGGCTATGACAGAGACAAACGGCTGTGAAAACAGAGAAAAGACTTGCCCAGGGATGAAAGTTTCAGGAAAAAGGTGCCACTGGAACATGGCCTTGACAGAGTTTTTAGTAGAAGAGAATCTAAGCAAAATGGTTCCATGGACACTTTATCTGTTAAAGTCAAATTGGGGGAAAAAAAACAACAAAAAACAGTATATTAAGAGCACACATTCTGGTCTATAGTTCCATCTTTGCTATTTTCTAGTCACGTGGTCTTGGAAACAACATTTATCTGTGTTCTGATTTTCTTATATTTTAAATGGGAATGATATAACAACATATGTGTCAACAATTTTGTGAGGGTCACATAAAATTATACATGTACAAATTCACTTGTGAATCCTCACTTCTAAAACATTATATTAAAACAGCTTAATTTCAATATATGGTGTACATATGGTATGAAAGTTTATATTCCCTATTGGGAAGCCAATGGATAGTGTTTGTGGTTAACATAAGACCTAACACCATAAAAACCCTAGAAGAAAATCTAGGCAAAACGATTCAGGACATAGGTGTAGGCAAGGACTCCATGACCAAAACACCAAAAGCATTGACAACAAAAGCCAAAATAGACAAATGGGACCTAATCAAACTCCACAGCTTCTGCACAGCAAAAGAAACAGTCATTAGAGTGAATCGGCAACCAACAGAATGGGGAAAAAATTTTTGCAGTTTACCCATCTGACAAAGGGCTGATATCCAGAATTTACAAAGAACTAAAACAGATTTACAAGAAAAAAACTAACAAGCCCATTCAAAAGTGGGCAAAGGATATGAACAGACACTTTACAAAAGAAGACATACATGAGGCCAACAAACGTATGAAAAAATGCTCATCATCACTGGTCATCAGAGAAATGCAAACCAAAACAACATTGAGATACCATCTCACGCCAGTTAGAATGGCGATCATTAAAAAATCTGGAGACAACAGATGCTGGAGAGGATGTGGAGAAATAGGAACACTTTTGCGCTGTTGGTGGGAATGTAAATTAGTTCAACCATTGTGGAAGACAGTGTGGCGATTCCTCAAGGACGTAGAAATAGAAATTCCATTTGACCCAGCAATCCCATTACTGGGTATATATCCAAAGGATTACAAATCGTTCTACTATAAGGACACGTGCACACAAATGTTCATTGCAGCACTGTTTACAATAGCAAAGACCTGGAACCAACCCAAATGCCCATCGACGATAGACTGGATAGGGAAAATGTGGCACATACACACCATGGAATATTATGCAGCCATCAAAAACGATGAGTTTGGGTCCTTTGTAGGGACATGGATGAACCTGGAAACCATCATTCTCAGCAAACTGACAGAAGAGCAGAAGATCAAACACCGCATGTTCTCACTCACAGGTGGGTGTTGAACAATGAGAACACATGGACACAGGGAGGGGAGCACTACACAGTGGGGTCAGTTGGGGGGAAATAGGGGAGGGACGGTGGGGGGTGGGGAGCTGGGGAAAGATAGCAAGGGGAGAAATGCCAGATGTAGGTGATGGGGAGGAAGGCAGCAAATCACACTGCCACGTGTGTACCTATGCAACAATTTTGCATGTTCTTCACATGTACCCCAAAACCTAAAATACAATAAAATAAATAAATGGGAAAATAAATAAATAAATAAATATTTTTATAATATAAACACATATAATATATAATTATTAAAAATTATGATTAAAAATCAATAACAAGAGAAAAGCATATTATTTAGAATATTGGAAGCAAAACGCCAGTAAAATACCTGAAAGTGTTTGCCTTTGGGGAGTGAGCTTTGGAGGGCAAGTATGTAGTAGGCAGGTGTCTGCATATTACTTGACTTTTAAAATACTTGGTTTTTAAAAAAGTAAAAGTAAACCAAAAAGAGTGGAGAGCCATACAGAAGGAAATTTGTGACCTGGAATCCCCTGTTCTGTCATACCCTCAAAGAAGAGCACAGACCCTGCCCCTTGAAGCCTGGCCTCACACCCAGACTCACTCTGAGTTCAGGATGGAAGACTACTGAAGTTCAAGAGCAGTAGCTCCTAATGGGGGATGTACTGTGTTCTCAGGGAAAGTTTTGGTCTCTGGGTGCAGGGGGAGGGGTCATTATTAATTGTCATAGTGACAAGGGGTGGTGAGCTGGGTGAAGGAAAGTCTGGAGTGGGTCACAGGCATCTCCTGGGCAGGAACCAGGGATGCTAGATATCTTGCAAGATGTGAACGGGTCCACACAGTGTAGGATAGTCCTGCCTCTCTCGTGACTTTCATATATCCCACTGTACATTCATATAGTTTAAAAAAAGCATCCTGTTTACAAGCATCTAAGCCTAGAATTTAACTGTGTTCTAATATATTCACATTGAATTTTCTGAAATTTTTTTCTTGCAGTTTTAAACATGTTTAGTTTAGAACTTTAACAAATATTGTGTGTGCCATTTCAGAAAATCACATCACCAATAGCAACACCATTTGTAGATTTTGAGACTCCACTGCAACTGTAGCTGTTGCATCACAGTGAATCCAAGCATGCAGAGAAATATATTTATTCTCTATTTCAAAGTTTCACATATAAAAGAAGTATATTGATAATCTACTGCAAAGGTTTTATTTTTCTTATGTAATGCATCTATCTCTTCTATTATGTCTTCTTGTGAAGTCATGCCTAAACATCTATATATTAAAAGATACAGTTTATTATTATTATTATTATTTTTTTTTTTTTTTGAGACGGAGTTTCACTCATGTTACCCAGGCTGGAGTGCAATGGCGCGATCTCGGCTCACCGCAACCTCCACCTCCTGGGTTCAGGCAATTCTCCTGCCTCAGCCTCCTGAGTAGCTGGGATTACAGGCATGCGCCACCATGCCCAGCTAATTTTTTGTATTTTTAGTAGAGACGGGGTTTCACCATGTTGACCAGGATGGTCTCATCTCGATCTCTTGACCTCGTGATCCACCTGCCTTGGCCTCCCGAAGTGCTGGGATTACAGGCTTGAGCCACCGCGCCCGGCCAGTTTATTATTAATTATTTAAAAATTTGTATTCATTTTACAGCTAGAGTAGTATGTGTTGATTTTGAAATTATGCCTGTAGAGAGGTCATATTATCTATGAACTTTATTTCAAGATAGTAAAAGAGTTTTTAACAAGTATTTATCACATAAGGCATTGAATCTGATAGGGCTTGAATATAGTTATTTAAGGAAGGCCTGGAAGTTCTTTTTCGTATTTGACCTGGATCTCTACTCTGACTGTTTAGGGCCGTTTTCAATTTTCAGTCACCTTCCTCCTCCTTTTGGAGATGGAAAAGTGCTACCCAGAACCACCTTAAATTTTTCTTTCTTTTTAAGTCCAGAGGTGTCAATGATGTAATATTGCCCACCAGGTTTTGCATAGCAAAGACTTTTCTGGTTATAAATATAATTTTACATAGTTCACAGTTCAAAATCCATACTTTTTTGTGTGTGGAATCAGCTGCAGAATAACAGGAGCTTTTCTGCAGTCTTTCACTGCAGCCTCTCTGGAGCTTCCAGGACTGGTTTTAGAACTGGTCCTGTTTCATGATCTGTGGGGCCCCATGTGTCTCTACCCCAGAGCTAGGGCCTGCTACACTCTGCATTCTACCATTCACACTGCTAATTCACCAAGCTAATTAGGCTGGTTAAGGGTCTGTAAAGGCAGAAATCTGTTGGAGTTTAGTTTCATTCATTTCTTTCAGAGGAACTTGCAAGGAAGCTCCTGTCAGCTTTTGGAACGGGAACAGAATCTCAAAGGCTTGGCATGAGAAATAGCTTAAGGCGCCAACCTTCCAGGCCAAATATCTAGTCACAAAGAGTCCCAATTCAACTTTTTCCCTTGAGGCAAACTTCAAAGTATGCAGGAATCAAAAACTCATATAATGAAAATATACCAAGGGATAACACACTTAGCTAAGACTTGCTGGAAACACATTTCTCCCACTGTACCTCAATTCTCTCTGCCTCCGGAAAGACTTCATGGTACTTAATTACCGGCAAGAAGGACAGAGCAGGTTTTCTAAAGTTCACTTACTTTATTCCAGTTGCACCAGTTTTATTGAAAAAAGTTATGTAGCTTAGTACCTGCCAGGCACTGTCCTAAGCACTTTAAAAATGTTAATTCATGTAACCCTCATAACAACCCTATGAAACAAGCACTTTTATTATTCTTATTTTACACATGAGGAAACATGTACACATTGTCTATTTTCCTTTGCTGGTAGATTTTCTTCGTTTTTTTTCTTATATAAGGTTTAAGACAATGCATACTTATCTTGCGGAATTTTTTTTCATGATTGAAAAAAATCATAAAATGACTAGAGCAAAGCATAATCTCAAAACACAATGGTTAGAGTTGTGAGGTTTTTGTTCCAGTGAAATATGAACTACTTAAGGAATTCCACAGAAGGACATAAACTAAAACCTTTTAGAGATTCATTTGACCATTAGACTTAATTTAGCAGAATAAAACAGCACCAGAGGTTTTAACCTCTTGAATTTCTCATGTTTTTATGTGCTCTTGGCATTGTCTAATTTTTCCCCCACTAGTGAACATCTAGGCTTTTGGGAGGTGGCAAGAGAAGAATAGCATCCTTACAACCTGTGTAAGGCTATTGTTCACACACCAATGCACATATTGAAAGAGTAAATGTCCAACTACAGCCATTCACACTTTCTGCTTGCACCTATATAGTACCACTTATCTGCAAGCTTTTGTGACAATTTGATTTAACGCATATTCAGCTAGTTGGTTTTAAAAACTATCACAGTGTTAGCAAAGTCTTGAGACTTTTGGTCTGTTAAAATTAAAACTGTCCTACTGGAGCATTTTGGATTTTGTAAAAGAAA